ATTCTGGTTGGCGAATTAAGGTTTGTGCAGTCGATCTGGTCACTCCAATTAGTTACTTCACTATCCTTAGTTCACCAATCCTGCTAAAATAAGGGTAGCTCACTAAGAATTAGGGAATTAGCATTGGTAATTAAGAATGGTTCATTAAGAACAGAATAGAATAGTTCATTAGGATTGTGCATTGGTAATTCACAGTGCATCCCCTAGCCATGAATGGTGAAGTCTGGTTTCTCCAGGATCATGTCGGATCCGTGCCAGGACGACCAGGCCTTCGTGCGAAGGATCCGAATGACCTACATGGACAAGGCCGGTGTCGTGTGGCCATTTGGCCAGGGATAGCAGCCGTAGGCCATCCGAGGAGAGACACCCCAGAAAGCCCAGAAAGCCCAGCGCTTGGCCGCTTATCCAGGTCACCAAGGACCATGACAAGCACGACCTGCTGGAGGATCTGGAGGAGAGGGCAACAGGTGCTTGAGCTATTGCTCACCGGGTGGACAAGTCATAGGTCAGCATCCCCAACTGAAGCGCTCTGAAAGATTCTTTGCTGAGCTGTTCAAAGGCAATCCACAAGATCCTTACATTGTGTTATTTGTGGGAGGGGGTCCCTTTGTACTGCTTTTCCAATAGGGATTGTGGATTGGGATTGGCCAATACTGCATTGTGAACAGCCCAGCTTGGAATCAACAAATCACCTGACAGGTTCCCATTGGCCTGGGGCAATCAACACCCTTTCAGCATGGCCCAAAGGACGGAGGTAAGCCTAGGCCTTCATGCGGGGGGGTCCCCCCCTTGCCCTGAGCCACCATCAAAACCTGGGTAGATGAAGGTTAGTGCGGGATAATCCAACCCTTTTAATTCTCGACGTGTGAAAGCAAACAGGTGAGGTCGCCCTTTTAGTTCTTGACATGGCACCATGACTCGTATGGTCCTCATGAGTGTTTGGATGCGAGCCGCTCTCTCTCTCTCTCTCGCCCATTGCTGCATGGAAGCTTGCGGGCTGTGTGTCAAATTTTTAGGCTCCCCTCTTGCCGTTCAGGGAAGCCAAGCTGAAAAAAATCAGCGTTCAGGAGGGGGGTTCCTGGGTCGAACCAAAATTTCCAGAATGCATTTGGAGGGCTCCGTGAGGACGGTCAAAGGGCCTTGGAGCGCGAACCCTTTTTTTCGACACACAGTTTAAGCCGGCCAACTTATGTGACGAGTGCGGCCGTTTTCAGGAGCTGGGAAAAGAGACGCCAGGCGCGAACGTGCAGTCTTTCCATTGGAGGTCTAGACCTCCAATGGGGCATTTGTGTTTTGTGGTTTCTCAACCTTTGGACCGGGCGAAGGAACCCTTGAAAGCGAGCCACGGGGTGCTGCAGTAGGTGCCAATTTGTCCCTTGGTCACTGGGTCTATCAGAACTGCTCCGGAAGTTTGGTGGGGTGTGGCTTGCCCCCGAAACCAGATCTGGGACCCGGGATGAATCCAGGCTTTGCACCTTGGGTTTGTAACCTTACATTCCATGCTGACCTCTGGAAAAGCGCTGAGGTTGGGTCTACGATACCATGACCATCATGCCGTACCTGGCGTTTGGGTCCCAGAGCCTGCATCCAGAAGTTCGCATGTGTTCCTTGTGGTCTCCTTAGCAACTTCCCATGTAGCTTCAAAAAGGCACGCTCATTCGGGTCTTTTTGTTTTTTGAAGGGTGCCTTGTCCCTGAACAAATACTCATTTCAACCTTGCCGAGGTCGAGCACCTTCACTTTGGCCTCCATTTTCATTGTGCTGCAGTGAGCCCCCTTGGCGGAGCACGTGATGCGAGATGGTGCGTTGCTCGAGATCGTGCGTTTGCTTGACTCAAGCGCTTCAGGTACGGAATGAAGTTTCAAACTTTTCAAGAGGAGATGTGGTGGAAGGGATCTTTGATAGGCCGGCTGCAGATGCATCTTCGAAATTCCACAGACACTGCAAGAGTTGCGTGCGCAGACACAGAATGAGTGTCATGGGGCAAGTGTGAGAGTGGAGCCTTGCAATGCGGGTGTGAGGGTACCCTTTTTGTTGAGGGTACCCTTTTTGGGATTGAATGGTTCGAAGGGAACCCAATAATGAAACCAACAAATTTTGCCGGTCTCCCGTTGGTGGACACGTACCCATGTATGTGCAGGCCTGGGATTGGTCCTGGGTGTATTGGACATAGTCCGCGTGGTGATGATGTGCTGCCCTCAGAGCGCAGTCGGGCAAGGTGTTGTTTCCATGCCTGTGTCCGCCTTGACATCAATCATGAAGGTGGCGCCAAGTTAACGTTATGCGTCTTATTTTTTATCGCCTCCAGCTCAGGCCGCCGACATTTCAGGCCTCCTTTCTCACCCTTTGGAATTGTCCCATCAGAAGTTTCCCTGTGGAAATGTCCTTTTGTAATTGTTGTTTAGGTTTTGATATGTTCTTCGGAATTTGACATTGGAATTCTCCCATTGGAAGTCTGCAATTCCAGTTTCCCATTTGACTTTTCCCTTTGGAATCTTCCCGTTGGAAGTCTTGCTTTGGATTTGTCCCTTTCAGATTTTTGCTTGGGAATTCTCCAATTTTTCTCAATGGAATTCTCCTGTTGGAACTCTCCTTTTGGTTTTCCAATTTCTCCCATGGGAATTCTCCCATTCGAACTCTCCCATTCGAATAATCCCATTGGAATTGTCCAATTGGAATTGTCCCTTTGAGCTCTCCCATTCAAATTTTCCCCTTGGAATTCTCACATTGGAACTGTGCCAGGCTGCCATTGGAATGGTGCCATTGGACCCCTTTTTAAGATACACCCAAACTCTGGAAACGCGTGTTTCCGTTGGTCTCTGCACGGCGTTTTTGAGGACTTTGGTGGAACTGCGCAAGTTCGAGAATCGCCGCAAGGCGAAAGACGGCCAGTTCCTCCCCAGGCAGGTGAGAGTTTGTGCTGTATGGGTGTTTTTTTGAGGCTACCGCTTTTGAGTTTATTTTAAAGAGGGAAACCACCGCCCCCCCCCCGGGTGTTGAACATAGGTGGCATGGGTCGCGACCAGTTTTTTTCTAAACATGTACCAAAACCATTTTTCTTGTCCAACAGAACACCTTGGGGCGAAAAGTTAAAGGCTCAACTGGGCTCCTGGAAATCTCCCGTAGGCCAAACCTATGCTTAAAATGAGATGGATTGCTCCGCCTTCCGAGATCGGGGGTTCGGAATCCGGTTTTGCCCGGATCCCGTTTCTGCAAAAAGGGCAGTAGGAGATCCAGACATGGTTTCCTCAAGCAAATCACCTACGGGCCAAGGACTTGGTGCCCTTTTGTCGCGGCCACCTCAATTTAGTTTCTCCTAATTATTATAATTGGTGGTTTGTTCTGGCGGTTTGGGTTTTGAACCCTTGGTTCTTGCAAAAGCAACTGGCTAACCTGCAAACCAATCCAATCCAATCCAATCCAATCCAGCCAGGCGCATCCGCAGAGAAAACGAGAAGGACTACCAACCAGCCCCACCTCCGCGGCTGTGGAAGCAGGCATGGGCTGTGGAACCATTGCTCTTTTTGATCTGGGTATGGGTCAAAATTAAACAACCAGGGGACCGCAGGTTTTAGTCTTTGGTTCTATTTGCCAGGGTTCCATTTTGGGTACCTAATTTTGACCCACAGCCATCTTGTGGACAGGAAGGGCTCCACTGACGGGAAGGGTTCTCCGAACCCCTTCGAAGGTTCGATCAAAACAATTCGAGCGTGGCGGAGCTTTGGTTTCCTTTTATGTTTGGCAAAGGAAGTTTCCATGGAGCATTCAAAATTCGATTGATCTATTGGTCTTACTTCCCTTCTTTGTGTGTGTGATGCTGCACCCACATCTTCGGTTCCACAACCGTGGACGGAACAGTTTCATGATGTTTCATGGCACTCTCTGGCTGAAGTCTGTTTTGCGGGCCGCTCTCCGTACGGTGTTAACCATTAGAACCACCCTTCAGAAGAAAAAGAAAAGCGCCGGTCACGGTTCTTCCGTGGCCACGCCTGGGATTGGGTTTGATGCGACAAAACCCTCCCAGTGTCCAGGCGATCCGATCCCGGCAATTGAATCGAGAAGCCACAGGTTGGGGCTCGAGGCCTTGGGCCAGCCCCAACCATTTCGATTTTATCACAAGGACAACGCACCAAAAGGCCAAAAGCCGATGAGGGAGGTGAAGGTGGAAAAGGTCTGGGACCAAAGGCACTTGTCGGTTTGTGGCCTGTGGGATTCTGAGGCCATGGTTACAACGGCAGCAATCGACAGAGAGCAGCTTAGGTAACAAAAAGAAAGGCTTCCCAAAAGACACATCCAACAATCATCTGTGTTTTTGAACATGGCCAAAATGTATCCTTTGAGCAAGCCTCTAAACAGCAGACTTGTGACCAAGCAAGCTTGACGAGCACTGTGCAATTATCACTCTCTTCGTTGCGAGACTTAACTATGCCGGATTTTGTTGCCAATTCCAGCTTCCTTGTTCCCTTTTTAGCCTGCAAGTTGCGCCCAGTATGTGCGAGGGGTTTTAGAGGATTGGTTGAGTCAGACGCCCCTCGTCGGGAATGGAGATTGGGAATGAAGCGGCGGGAAGATTTCCTGGAAGCCCAGATGGTTCAGGTTGGGGTCATTCCAACTCTCAACCTTACTGAGAGCCAGAGAGCCGGCAAGTTTGAAGCCCGCTGGTTGCATCATGCGACTATTTACTTATGCCTTTAAGAGGGAGGAACTGTTCAAACTGGTGATCTACTTAAGTTAAGCTTCCATCATTTCCCTTCTCAACCCGCAAGAAGTGCTCACTTTTTGGAGGGTCTATAAAAGTATGCTTGTGTGTGGGTGTCTTTCTTTGAGGGTCTTGTGTTCTTTCTCCCAAAAACGGATCCACCCACAGCGTTCCCCGTGCCAACCGAGTCGGCCAGGCCGTTGCAGCGCCACCTGTGCCCAAGGGCCCGGCCATTACCACTGCCCCGCCACGGCCGGCCTTCCTGCCGCCGCCCCCACAGCAGCCGGCTCTGCCGGGCCCCGGCTGAAGCCAAGTCAAAGTTCTCAGAGCAAAGGTCTACGCCGCAAAGAGGCACAAACACGCGGCATGCACAAAATTCAGGCGCAACATGCCACAAGGAATATGGATGGAAACAAACACTTCCACGAAACACATTCGCAAAGAGCAAGAGCTCGGAACGGAGTTGAGCAGAGCAGGGTAGAGCGAGCTGGGTCAAGGCGCAGACATGGGAGCTGAGCCCGAGAAGCCTGAGATCTGCTGCTTGACCCAGTCTTGCCCCCCCAGCACTCTAAGTTGCTCAGCTTGGCTCGACTTTGCTCTGAGCAGAGTTCAGCACAGCAAAGCGGTGCTGAACGGAAGCAGATTTGACTTGAAGCGAGCAGATCTGAGCTGACCAAAAATAGCATGAATATCATGATACCCAGGAAATGACTCACATCGAATATATTACTTGCAAGATAGACCACAATAGGCACGTTGTGTGTTTATAGTTTTGGATTTTTTATAGAAAATAATTTATTATGTTAAAATTATTTATATAATGAACTTATATATTTGTATTTTTGATTTTATATATATAATATTAAGAATTATTTTAGGAAGGATTATTCGAAATAATATATATATATATACACTTTGGATTTTGGAGATTATTTCGGTTATTTTTTTAAAAATGATTTATTTAGGAATATTAAATGGTTAATTCTGAAATATATATATTTTAAGGCAAATTATATTTTACAAATTCTGGTTTGGTTCGCTTTTATATGTATGTTTTGGCACAATGGACGTTTTGTAGTAATCTCGGAGAAATTGGAGCATGGATAAAGTGTGGATAAAATATGGAAGAACCATTTACGGATATGGAAAAAACAAAATTGGGAGTGGAATATTTATTTAGGGAAGTGGTTAAATCATGATATTTCGTCGAATGAAAGCTTAGCTTGAAAGGCTTGTAAATTAATATGGCGTTTATAGAGCTTAATTACGCGACCTTTTCAAAGACAAAAGGCGATTCTAAACGAGCCTGGTTTGCTTACATGATGATTGGATTATGGTCGTGATAATTTATTGGCTAACATCGAGGTCCACAAATGGTTGTCTAAAGCTATTGAAAATGCGGGTTTTTCTTTTTTAGGTCCTTCGACAAACAGTTAATTAAAGGAATTTGGAAATTCAGGGAATCAAATTCTGATTTGGCTAATATGAGCTTAAGGCCTATATAATTGCCAGTTTTGCTTATTAGTCAATATGGTATTCCAAAAATATGGTTTTATTTATTGGCCAATATGGGAATCCAGAAATAGCTCTTTAAAGCCAATGAAAATATGTATTCTTGTCACAAATGGCTCTTCGACAAACGACCGTTTTTGAAAAGGCCTTTTGAATTCTAGAGTATATATTTAATATCTATTATAATAATAATAATACATTTTATTAATATATAATAAATATTATTAAAACCAATATCAAATTAAATATCGAAATATATTTATTTATATAGAATTGAATTATTATATATTATTATATATTATTATTTATTTTATATATTATTATACATTATTATATATTTTTTAGATAGCCAAAAATTATAATAAAACCATTTTTAATACAGAAGGGAACATGATTTGTGAGCTTGAGGTTCAGGTATTAAAATCGCAATTTGGGTATGCAATTTATATGTGTAATTTGGGATGTCGGAGGAGACCGAGGTGTTAGGGGGCTTCCAGCTTACGCTGCTAGTAGAGGGCTCGTTTTGCGAGATTGATGGCCGAATGCTAGGAGGTGCTGTGTTGGGAGAATGATAGCCGGGTGCTAAGGAATATACAGTTTTGGGTGCCAATAAGGCGGTGTTTTACGAGCTTAACGGCCGGGTGTTACGGGTTCGCGATATTACAGGACATGCCGCATAATAGGAGGTAGTCAGCAAATTGCATGCCCCCCTAACACCTAGCCAGCACTCTCGCAAAACAGCACTTTCTCGAACACCTCCACCAACAGCCTAAACTGCATGCCCCATAGCACCCGGTCATCAAACTCGCAAAATAACACCTCACTAGCACCCCAAATTGCATGCCCCCCCACGCCCGGCCATCATTCTCGTAAAACAGCGCCTCCCCCAATACCCCTGTCAATCTCGCAAAGCGACACCTTCACTAGCACCTCAAGCTGGATGCCCGGCCGTCAAGCTAGAGAACGTGCAATTTGGGATGTTGGCGACGGCCAAGTGCTTAGGGGGGCCGGATGTTAGGGGACATGTGGTTTTGGGTGCTACCGCTTGCGCAAGGGGGCATACAATTTGGGGCGCTGGTGGATGTTGTTTCGCGAGCTTGACATGCGGGTGCCGGGGTGTATCCAGCTTTGGGCTGGTGGAGGTGCCGCTTAGCGAGATTAATGGCCGGGTGCTAGCATGCAACTTGGGGGGGTATTCTGGTGGATAAGGGGGCATGGTGGTGTTGGTATAGGTATTGTTTTAGGATGTTTGAGGTGCTAGTGAAAGCGTATTTTTGCCAGATTGATGATTGTATGAAGTTTGGGACGTTGACGCAGATGCTATGTTTAGGGGCGGTGTTGTTTAAGGTGCTAGTGACATTGTGGACTCAATTTCAGAGATTGTCGGCGAGTATTAGGAGCATGTTTGGGGTGTTACGATTATAAGCGTTATAATATGATTGGAATCAGTGCGATATTTTTATTGTTAATAAAATTAATATATTTTCAATTATTTGGGAAATATAAAATATTTAAATTATTGGCAAACATATATTAGCATAAACCCCAAATAGTACACCATAGTCACGAACCATAATGCAGTATTATAATAGTTCCCGTAACATTATATTAATGTTAATAATATAATTATAATGCTAAGAATATGATAATAATATTAATAGTATCGTAATAATATTATAACAACTTAACACCTATGTTAAATAAATGCGCAAATAATGTCCTACTAAGGATAACAAAATAATAATATTAAGAGCATTATGCTAAAACACTAATTATAAACAATTCCGTATTATATATTCGGCAAACAAATGCAGAAATAATATCTTAATGAATACAAAATATCATAATAACACGGATAAAATTATAATAATATAAATAACATTATAATATTATTAGCAAAATCATAGAAATTTAAATAGTATTATTCAGATATTAAAGATAAACGAATAATAATATCATGATCCTAAATCATTTTCTAATAATTTAATGAAATTTAATAATATCTTCATATTAAGATCACCATAACACTACCGTAACACAACATCATAATATTCCAATAACATTATAACGTAATTAACAACATTATAAAGATATAACAACCACGAACCATTATGTGCCACAACATGGGCGCCACATATGTAGCCCTGTCTTAAGAGGATTCCCTTTTATAGTATTATGTTTCTAAAGAGAATCCAGAAAAATCCTATAAACCAATCGAGACATTCATGCTTCAGTAGCCCCAAAAAGGCAATATTTCAATTCACGACTGGGCAACAGAGCCGAGCGTTTAACACAGACTTAATCCAAGCGTTTAAATGGCAAGCGATTTGCTCACTTCAAACTTCCAAATTGCGGATTTGTGTTTCGGTTCCTTACGATTAAGAAATCCGCCGTCTCTTTCTCCGTACTTGATATACTTCTTTATGTGTTCAGCATACAGAAAAAGAGAGAGAGAGAGAAAGAGAAAGAGAGAGAGAGAGAGAGAGAGAGAAAAAGAAAAAGAGAAAAAGAAAAACAGAAAAATAGAAAACGGATTAAAAAGAAGAGATATAGCTCGCGGCAATACGGAAGGGTGCCATCTTTTGCACCCACTCGCAAAAACAAGAACAAACAAACAACAAGATACATACTATATATTATTAAATAGACAGATGCGGACATGCGGAACTAGACATAGAAACACAACAAATACGGATATATAAAGACAAACAGAGACAAACTAAGACAACCCGAGCAACAAAGAGACACAAACAAACAAATAGAGACAGAGAAGCACAAATACTAAAAGAAACAGATTGGGATATACAGAGATGCACAAAGATAGACAGAGAAAGACAGAGATTACACAACAAGGCACACGGAAACAGACTAAGAGACACAGAGAGAGGCAAGCATACGGAGACACCCAACACGAAATTTTCGAGAAAATTCGATTCGGACAAATTTCCAAAATTCCCCGAAATTCGGCCGATATTTTTTTTCGGAAAGCCGCTAAATTCTGAAAAAACAACTGCGGGAGTAACGTCCGGAAACCTAAGAGCCGCGTCGCCGGAAACGACCCAAAATTCGGACAAATTTGGCTGGGTTACGCCGCGAGAACTCTATACAAAATTAACAAATTTCGGCAAAATTTCGGGGCCTTCGGGCCGCACGAAAAGGCAAGAACTTGTGCCGCGGAGAAAAGACCGAGACAAACATAACCGCTAGCGACAAACACTACGATTACCAATGCATGGGAAATGCGACCTCGAGGCTATACCGATATATAAGAGAATAATTCCATTTAATATTATTATCATTTATGTTTTTCCAATTTGTTAAATTATATAAATTAACTATTTTCCAAATTTAATTATATTTTAATATATACATAAAAATCACAATATATTACTAACAAAAACAAACAAAAACATAAATTATATCAATAAATATATAAATATTTATTATTTATTTCTATGTATTTTTTTCCAAAAGCATAACGAAGGGTTCTTCCGTTAGGTTTACTTGAGTTATTCTTATAAGAGTCATTACAAAGTGTCATTATAAGGAATCATTATCATAAAAAATCAATGCAAGGAGTCATTGCAAGGAGTCGTTGCAAGGAGTCATTGCAAGGAGTCATTGCAAGGAGTCATTGCAAGGAGTCATTACAAGGAGTCACTGCAAGGAGTCCAGTACAAGTTGCAAGTGCAAGGAGCCAAGTACAAAGAGCCAAGTGCAAATTACAAGTGCAAGGAGTCAGGTGCAAGTTGTAAGTGCAAAGAGTCAAATGCAAGTTGCAAGCGCAAAGAGTCAAATGCAATTGACTTGCGAGGAATTAAAATTTCTTCTTAAAGCGC